GTTTTACATGACAATCCCAGTTCCCTCTCCCTCTTGTCCTCCTTCCTATCCCCCCAACTAAAACTCTATCACATATCCTTTTTGCTCCCCCTGGATAGTGAGGCCTTCCATAGGGTGTCATCAGAGTCTATCGTATCCTTTGGGATAGGGCCTAGGCCCACCCCGATGTGTCTTGGCTCAGGGAGTCTTCCTCTATGTGGACTGGGCTCCCAAACTCCACACCTATGCTAGGGATAAGTACTGAACTACTACAGGAGGTCCCGGAGATTTCCGAGGTTTCTTCACTGAAACCCATGTTCCTGGGGTCTGGTTCAGTCCCATGCTGGTATTCCAGCTATCAGTCTGGGGAGCAAGAGTTCCCCGATGCTCAGGTCAGCTGTTTCTGTGGGTTTCACCAGCCTGGTCTGGACCCCTTTGCCCATCACTCCTTCTCTGCAACTGGATTCCAGTTCAATTCAGTGTTTAGCTGTGGGTGTCTGCTTCTACTTCTGCCATCTGCTGGATGAAGGCTATAGGATGGCATATAAGTCAGTCATCAATCTCATTACCGGGGGAGGGCATTTACGGTAGCCTCTCCTCTGTTGCTTAGATTGTTTGTGGGTGTGATCTTTGTAGATCCCTGACATTTCCCCAGGGCCTGATTTCTCTGTAAACCTAAAATGTCTCCCTCTATTATGGTATCTCCATTCTTGTTATCTTCTATTCTTCCCCTGACTCAACCTTTCTGCTCCCTCATGTCCTCTGCATCCCTCCTCTTCTCCCCTTCTTGTTCTCCTAGCTCCCCCTCTTCCCATGCTCCCAATTTGCTCAGGAGATCTTGACCCTTTCCCCTTCTCCAGAAGGCTACTTACTTTATATATTAATTTTTTATTATGCCACCTTGCTGAAGGTGGGTTTTATTTGTTGTTGTTGTTGTTTTAGTTCTAAGATTTTTTGGTGACATATTTAAGTGTTTCTTAATTTTTTAAATTTACCTTTATTTATTTGTATGTGTGTGTGCTCACATGCCATGGAATAGAAATGCTTGTAGAGAGGTTTGATTGACAACTTGTAGGGGTTGGTTCTCTTCTCACACTGTATGGATCCCAGGATTGATCTTAGGTCATGAGGATTGGCCACAGGGGCCTTTACCCACTGACCCACCAGGCTGGCCCTAGAGTCTCTTATGTCTAAAAGCATACCATGTGCAACTGGAATACTTTGACTCTTTTCCTATTCATATCCCTCTTCCTTTTTTTAATTGGTCTAGCCAAGACTTCCAAGAACTATATTGAATAGTAATGGAAAGAATCGTCACTCTTGTCTTGCTCATGGTTTTAATGATATTGCTTCAAGTTTGTCTCCATTTGGCATGATCCTGGGCCTGGGCTTGTCATATGCAGCCTTTATTGTGTTGAGATATATTCCTTCGGGCTGGAGAGATGGTTCAGCAGTTAAGAGCACTGTCTGCTCCTCCAGAGGAACCTGGTTCTATTCTCAGCAACATGGTGGCTCACAACCATCTATAATAGGATCTGGCATAAAGTTGTACATGCAGTTAGAGCACTCAACATACATAAAATAAATACATAAATCTTAGAGATGATTTGTTTTGTTTTTGAGTCAGGGTCTCACTATGTAGCCCTAGCTGGCTGGAACTTGCTTTGTAGATCACCAGGATGGCTTCAAACTCATAGAGAGCCCCTGTAAGTGCTAGATAAAAGGCATGCACAGCCATTCCTGGCTCTCTCCAGAGCTTTTAAATTAAGGGATACTATATATTGCTGTGTTGGGCTAGGGTTAAAGCACCAGAGGGAGTTGAGGTAAGGGTTTTGTCTATGGAGGGAGTAAGTGTTTCAGGTAGGTCTTGGAATGGTGGGGTTCAAGTACAGGGAGGAAAGTGGGAGTGCTCTATTCATGGAGAGAGTGATTGCTTCAAAGTAGGTCCTCAGATGACAGGCCGGGTTTCTCTGTATAGTCCTGGCTGCCCTAGAACTCTCTCTGTAGTTCAGGCTAAGCTTGAACTCTGAGATCTTCTTGCCTCTTTATCCCAATTGCTGGGATTAAGGGCAAGAAACCCTATCCATCTTGGTTTTTTTGGGGGTGGGGTGGGGAGGTAGTGTTTCTCTATGTATCTCAGTCTGGCCTTTAACTCACTATGTAACCCAGGCTGACTTCAAATTCTCATTAATCTTCCTTTTCCCAGTCTCCCCACAGTAGGTGTTACAAGTATATGCCACTGTGGTCACTGGATATTTTCTGATAATGAAAAGTTAGTAGACATCATATTGACATAGATTATTTTCTATTTTGGTAATTACCCATATTTAGAAATATTAATAAGCAAGTCTAAACATTCCTAGAATTGGCTTGGTGAGCAGGACCAGGGGAAGAAGAAAGAGCTAATTTTTAGATACCGACAGAAGTGGGCCTGCCACATTTTCTCTATCCATTCTTCAGTTGAGGGGCATCTAGGTTGTTTCCAGGTTCTGACTATTACAAATAATGATGCTATGAACATAGTTGACCATCTGTCCTTATTGTATGAGTGTGCATTCTTTGGGTATGAGCCCAAGAGAGGGATTGTTGGATCTTGAGGTAGACTGACTACCATTTTCCTGAGAAATCGCCATATTGATTTCCAAAGTGGCTGTACAAGTTTGCACTCCCACCAGCAATGGAGGAGAGTTCCTCTTTCTCCACATCCTCTCCAGCATAGATTGTCATTGGTGTTATTGATTTTAACCGTTCTGCTGGAGACTCTAGTCATAAAGCTGGGGAAACAGCATTGGACCAAACCAAGCCCTCTGAATGTGGGTACCAGCTAGGAGGCCAAGACAGTCTATAGGACCTCAAACAGCAGAGCCAATCTTTATCCCTAGAGTACAAATGGACTTTGAGAGCCCATTCCCTATGGAGGGATACTATTGCAGCTCAGATACAGCAAGGAGGGCCTAGCCCCACCCCCAAACAATATGACAGACTTTGAAGGTCCTTGGTGGAGGGCCTCACTATTCCTGGGGAGGAGTGGGGGTGGGGTGGGTCGGGAACATGAGAGGATGGGAGGGTGAGGGAATGGGGGGGATGGATATGTAAATATGAGTAGTAATTAAAGAATTTAAATAAAAAATATTAAAAAAAAACCAAAGAAGTGGGACTCCCTAACCCTTCACTTAGCACCTGTGATGTCTCTGTGAGAAGGAGTCCATCTAAGGATTCCTGTCTAATTTAGAGAGAATGTTCCACAATGGGGTTGTAAGCTTCTGTGACCCAACTTTGGTGACAGCTTCGATTTGCTACAAGATAGGTGTGGCTTAAAGGAGACCACTGTGAACTTATCAAGTCTGAATTTTATTTCACCCAGGAGCAGAGTGATGAAGGGACATTCTTCCATGTTACATGTATCCCATGATTCTTCTGGTCCCCTTCCACTCAGGTCGTTGCTGGGGCTATTGTGCCAAGTGTGAAGATTCTGCCTTACTCCCAGGCGCTGACTCTGCCCCTGCCCCCGAGGGTCTGCCCTTGTACTCGCAGTTTAGGCGCCTCTGTAAGTATAGCAAAACTCTGTTAATTTGATGTTCCTGCTCAACATTTATTTGCAAAGTGATGAAGCCAGTTGACGAGGTGAGAATGTTTCCTAATGTCATCGATTCTTTATTTTAAAATGTAGACAATATTTGAAATAAAAGAAACACTCAGAGCTCAAATGCTTCCAGTAACTTCAAACAGCAGCAATACATGCATTCACAGAGGGGTATAGCTGTTAAAAGCCACATCCTTATTTTCTCTTCACTTTATTGCATTTTATAGATTGTTTTTCTAAATTCAAGGCTTGTGGCAACTTTACAAGGAGGGAATCCCTTCAGTGATGTGGGATCGCTTCCTTTCTCTTTCACATTTTGGTAATTTTGAAATATATATATATATATATATACATATATATATATATATATGTATATATATATGCTCTCTATGTATGTACAACTTTATGCCAGCAGAGGGTATCAGATCCCACTATAGATGGCTGTGAACCACCATGTGGTTGCTGGGAATTGAACTTAGGACCTCTGGAAGAGTAGTCAGTGCTCTTAACCACTGAGCCATCTCTCCAGCCCCTGTAATTCTTTTCTTTTCTTTTTTTTTTTCCCGAGACAGGGTCTCTCTGTGGCTTTGGAGGCTGTCCTGGAACTAGCTCTTATAGACCAGTCTGGTCTCGAACTCACAGAGATCCACCTGCCCCTGCCTCCGAGTGCTGGGACAGCCCCTGTAATTCTTGCAGTACTTCAAAACTTTTCATGTTTATATGTGTTTTGGTTGCTTATGATCAATAATATTTTTAACAAGCTGAATTTGTTCTTTGACAATTTCACATATATACATATATATTCATTTACATATACATGTATGTTTATATATGTGCACATATATATTGTTCTTTGAAATTTTCATATATATATATATCTGTTATTCTAATTCCCCACACTGTTTTTTCCCTCCCATACTTGTCAGTGCCCCCTTCCTCAGGTCCATTTCTCATGTTCAGGTTTTTTGTTTGTTTGTTTGTTTGTTTGACCATTAGAGTGTCTCAGTGACCATAGGTATGGAACTGTCTAATGGAGCCTGATGGACTCACTAGTGGGTACAAAAAAAGCCATATTTTTGCAGGATAATTGATCACGTTGTGAATCCTGAGATTGCATTATTTACTGGGAAAACCTGTTTCTAGTTGTGATGTGGCTCAGCCATAGGACACACCTTTTCATCCAAGATCTTTCTATTTGAATATTGCAAACAGGATTAAATAAAGTTAAGAGGCAGAGCAAGCCTTCCAGTTGACAGGAAGTGAGCATAAGATTATTATGAAAAAAACATAGAAAGTAAGAGGTAGTCAGGAGGATGGATAGACTCAGAGGAAGTAGAGGGGAGGAACATTGAGTTGGCGGAGACTTAGTTGAGACAAGGAGAGGACGAAGGTCAGCTGGGTGCTTTCTTTGCCTCTCTGACCTAGCAGGCTGTATAAATTAAGAAAGAGCATCAGTGAGATCAAAATCAGAATAGCCTCCCATTTCTGTGCCTGGATCCTTTCTACTATGAGCTGGCTTCCACGGGCGTCCAGGACATTTGTGGGACGTTGCTTCTGGAAAGTCAGATATCAGCTTAAATGAAAGGCTATCTGGTTGTACATGGATATCAGGGATCAAATCATCGTCGATCTCGGTGGCATATGGTGGTGTGGTAGCTACCACGCTGTCAATTAAATCTGAGTCCTGAAAGTCAGAAGGCGTAACCATTACACTTGGCTGAGCTGGGGGAGGGCTAGGGGAGGTCCTCCCCTGTGTCTGTGTGGAGGATGTAGTACTGTCTTCAGAAGAGCTTGCCAAAGGCTCTGTTCTCTGGTCAGTGTGCTTTCCTTTGTTTTTGTCTTTATTTTTGTGTTTACCGTGACCATGACCATGACCATGACCATGACCATGACCATGACCATGTTCCTCTGGATGTCTGTGGCCAAAGCCATGCCTCCTTGGGGGCCAATGGCCTTGGTCATGCCCATGGTCAATCTTATGCTTTGTTTGTTTGTCATGCCCATGAGCAGGTCTTCGTTCATTTTCTGGATCCTGCTCTTCTTGCACCATGGCAGTATAGGGTGGACTTACAGTTGTTCCTTTTGTTTCTTGTGCGTGGACTGACCGGAAAGGCGAAAAGCCTGGAGGCCTTCTCAACATTGTAATCTAAACAGGAAATATTAAGATGAATGCATTATGTTAGAACCACTCTGTCAATGAGGGAAGAGAGACTGAGACCCTGATGATGCCGTTTTGATTTACAATGGGGTGATTCTTTGCTGGATTTTAAATACTATATTAATTTTCTAGAAAAATTAATTAACAATATGCCTTCTCTTTGGATTGTTCTTAAAACTTCTGGACTTTGTGGTACTGGAGATTGAACTCTGTACCTTATACAGGTTGGGCAAGTACTCTGCCACTGAGACACATCCCCAGCCTTGCCCGACTATTGTTATTCTCCGAGGCTGAGAGTTTTTCTTCATTTGGAAGAACTAGGTGGTTGAACTACATAAAAGCTAGAAAACACTGTTTGATAACTGATGCCACTTCTATTATAACCATTGCTCTTTTTATCCTTAGAGGCCCGAGGCATCTTTACAGTGCCACTTTGTCAGCTAAACCACTGTAGGGCTTGCTCACAAGCTTGCCGGGAAGGCTTTCTACAGTGTGTTAGACACACTGTACAAATGACAAGGACCTAAGCTAGAAAAAGAGAGGGGCGACTTGCACGAAAGCATGGCTTTGTTGATACTCTGCACCTCCATTTCTACCACCTGTGAGAGGTGACAGTTGAAGCCAGTGTTCAGAGGTGAAAGAAATTGGGCTTCAGAGACATGTAAGATCTTCTCAAAATTGGGATCATGATGGGAAGGGTGGGCTCTGATTTGACTGCACTCAATGCTGTAAAAACTAACTTCACTTTTCTGTGAAATAAACATAACAGCATCTGCCTCCCTAAGGACTGGGGAGAAAGTGCAGGAAGTTTGCTGTGCAGAGCCTGGGACAAGGGACGGAGAGCTGTGATTCATCTGGAGCCTCAACAGCATTTTATTTATTTATTTATTTATGCTTTTTTTTTTTTTTTTTTTTTTGAGACAAGGTTTCTCTGTGTAACAGCTCTGGCTTTCCTGGAACTCATTTAGGAGACCAGGCTGGCCTTGAACTCACAGAGATCCACCTGCCTCTGCCTCTGAGTGCAGGGATTAAAGGTGTGTGCCACCACAGCCTGGCTCGAATTTCAAATCTTAGTGTCCCATCTTTGATAACTAACAGAGCGCTATCACAACAAGACATTCTTTAAAGACTTCAGAGGACGATGCAGTGTAATCTCACAGACTTGGATCATGTGTGGGAATCCCATGAGGACCTGGTTAAGATTCATTAACTGTGGAAGGGACACAAAGTCCTTGAATGTACAATACACAATGCTGCATGTGTCTCAGGCACATCTTGGAGGTGTGTGTCTAGGGTTAGCCCCTGGGCTCCTCACTGCCAGCCAAGAACTTCAAGGAACACTGACAACGAGATCAGTGACCAAGAGGTCACCTGTCCTCCTTTCCAGTCATAAAAATCAAGATCAGCATAGAAACATGCAACTTCTTACTGTTTTAAAAAGATAGCCCCTCCCCCAGTTTGTTTTAGTAATGATTCATTTTCGATACTCAGATGTGGCTTTTGGAATAGGCACAACTGGCCCGATGCTGCCTGTCATTGAATGCCTACCATTTCTAATGCTCCGCAGTTGACGGTCGGTTCGACTTTGTTCTCCCAAGGTCTCATGTACACGTTAGCCTTGCAGTTGAGACTTTGCTAATCATGAAAGCAGAAGCCAAGAGAAACATCGTTAGTCATGAGGCAGATGAGAAAGTGATTCTTAAAGCATCACATAGGCACAGTGCTACTCACACCAGCGGGTTTGACATCACAATTTGCTGTCAGTTCTGTGTTGCTCTCCTTGGAACACTTGGTTTCTCTGGCTATGAACTCAATAAAATATTTCATTCCACCCACCACCTGTAAATTAGAACAAAACAAGAGTTTAGCCGGGCAATGGTAGTGCACAACTTTGATCCCAGCACTTGGGAGGCAGAAGCATTAGGATGTCTGTGAGTTCCAGTCCAGTCTAGTCTACAAGGGCTAGCTCCAGGACAGCCTCCAAAGCCACAGAAAAATGTTTTTCGGGGGGGGAAAAAAAAAAGAAAAACCAAAGAAACAAAACAAAACAAAACCCCCACAAGTGTTTAATAAGGATTTGTAGAATAAATTATACATTTTCACTCTGATGAGTTTAAAGTTAGAACCTTGAAATTTCAATTATATATTGACCATATTAAATAGTCATACTCCCCAAGCTATCAATGTCTGATACAGACTTTGGGTTTGTGTGCATACCTAAGATTTCTGGATATTAGTTGGGTTAGCTTCCATTACTAAGTAGAAGAAAAGCAGGCTACACTGTTTACTTTAATACACACATATCTATTTTAATGTTCAAAAGCTGCAAACTGCACTCACTCATAACTCAGGGCTTAAGTTACAATACAATCTACAGTAGGGGAGGGCAAACTTAAAACACTTTCTTTACACATCTTTTTCTTGTCTTGCTGTCAAACAATGAATCAGTAAGTTCTTATGTAGATTAAATTATGCAATTAGGAAAATATTTGATTACATATTGTTTCTCTTAATATTTTTAATATTGAGAAACCGCAAATCTTTAAACTATCTATGTATGTATGTATGTATGTATGTATGTATGTATGTATGTATATATCTATCTATCTATCTATCTATCTATCTATCTATCTATCTATCTGAGACAGGGTATTACTATGTAGCCCTAGCTGGCTTGGAACTCACTATATATCCCAGGCTAGCCTCAAACTCACAGAAATCTCCCTGTTTCTGCCTCTTGGGTGCTAGAATTACAGGCCTGTGTCACCACTATCAGCCTGAGATTTATTTATCTTGATTTTACATGTATGGGTATTCTTGCATGTACATCTGTGCAACACACAGGTGCAGTAGTGTCCTCAGAGCCCAGAAAAGGACACCAGATCCCCTGAAACTGGAGTTACAGAGGGATGAGAGCCACCATGTGGGTAATGAGAATTGAACCCCAGTCCTCTATAAAAGCAGCCAGTCCTCTAAACCACTGAGCCATCTCTGCAGTCTTTCCATTTAAGTACTTAGTAGATTTTAATCACTACATAATGTCAATAAACAGTTGTCTAGAGCCAAATTTTGTGATCTAAGTATTTATTATAGGATTTAAATGTATGTGTGTGTGTGTTTGGAGTATTACATATCTATTGAAAAGAATTCAGGGCTGGAGAGTTGGCTCAGTGGTTAAGAGCACTGACTGACTGCTCTTCGAAAGGACCTGGGTTCAATTCCCAGCACCCACATGGCAGCTAACAACTGTCTATAACTCCAAAGATCTGATACCCTTAAGCAGATATACATGCAGGCAAAGCACCAATGCAAATAAAATAATTTATTTAAAAGAATGCATGTATACATATTGACCTGGAAAGACAGCTCTGATTGAAAAAAAGGAATTACATACTGGTACCACAATCCCACTTTGTAAAAAACAACTGAAACCTTTTCTAGCTCTTTATGGTTTTATTGTTTTTTGTTGTACTAGGGATGGGTGCTAGGACCCAGACAGAGGCCTACCATTGAGCCATATTCTCAACATCTTTAATTTTTACTTTTTTTTATTTGAGATATAATCTCAGTATGTAACTCAGATTGGCCTGTAACAAGTGGTCCTCAAAATCACAACCCTCCTGCCTCAACCTTCCAAGTGCTAGAATTATAGATGTGAGCTGCCATTCTGGCTTCCTGATGCTGACAGCTCAACTTAATTCAGAGCTGGGGGCGGGGAGGTCAGGACAAATTGAACACACCTAGTAGGGTCTCAAGACTGTATCCACACTTCCATCACCAAGGCATATTTATCAAGCTTTCCAATGCATGAAGGCTGAAGCCACTGTGCCCAGGTTCTTTGTTTTGTTTTGTTTTGTTTTTCACACTAGAGAATACTGTATGTCAATAGAAATCCCAAATGTATTTGAAAGTTTAAAATAACTAAAGAATAAATATTCATCAGAACCTAGGATATATATGGAGAGACATTCCTAGGAGAAACATAATGGAAGTGTATGAAGTAAAAGGAAAATGTTTATATTGATAAGCAATAATGCAAATCATTTCTCAGGCATTGGTGGTGCATGCCTTTAATCCCAGAACTTGGGAGGCAGAGGCAGGCTGATCTTTGTGAGTTCGAGGTCAGCCTGGTTTACAGATCAAGTTCCAGGACAACCTCCAAAGCACTACAGAGAAACCCTGTGTTGAAAAACAAAACAAAACAAAACAAAACAAAAGAAAAAGCCAGCCTCGAGTCTCTAGAGTAGGAGTCTGTCCTTCACATTCTGGTCATAGACTGCCAGCGCTGTTAGAGGTTTTGGCTTTTCTAGTCCAGCTACTCATTTTTCAGATGGGGCTACAAAGGCTGATATTTTAGTAACCACACAGAGCCACCAAGGATAGAGGCTATGGTAGTGTTGATCCTCTGACCCCAGATGAAGGTAACAGGTAGTGAAAGGAGAGCTGAGCCCCGAGAGATACAGTTGTAAGAGATGAGGGCATCGGGGGCAGAGGGGCCAGATGGTGGGAGAAAAGACATGGCCTCCTGAGTGAAGGGCATTTAATGATGACTGACTATCAATGTGGCCAAGTCCAGTGGTTTAGTGTCTCTCTCTCTCTCTCTCTCTCTCTCTCTCTCTCTCTCTCTCTCTGTGTGTGTGTGTGTGTGCGCGCGCGAGTGTGTTTTTGCATGTGTGTATTTTTTTTAATTTTTATTTATTTATTATGTATACAGTCTTCTGCCTGCATGCAGGCAGAGGGCACCAGATCTTATTCAAGGCGGGTGTGAGCCACCATGTGGTTTCTGGGAATTGAACTCAGGACCTCTGGAAGAACAGTCAGTGTTATTAACCGCTGAGCCATCTCTCCAGCCCATGTGTGTGTATTTTAAGACAAGATCTTGATATGTAGTCCAAGCTGACCTAGAACTTGCGGCAACCCTCCTGTCTCAACTTCTCAGAGCTTGGATTATAGGTGTACACCACAACACCTGGCATTAAATGTTTTTATCAGAGAAGAATCTGGAAAGACGGAAAAATAAAAGCCTTGCTTTTCCTAGCCAAGATTTTGCTAATTATACAGTGGTTCCCAGTATTTGAACAACCTTTTGGAATTTGGAAACCTTTTGGTTTGTCATATATTACCTAATTTGAGCTTTGCCCCAGACATTTTTAGGTAGAAAACAGAGCTTTTGTTTTATTTTGTTTTGCTTTGCTTTGCTTTGCTTTTTGTTTTTTGAGACAGTGTTTCTTTGTGTAGCCCTAGCTATCCTAGAACTAGCTCTGAGGACCAGGGTGGCCTTAAACCAGAGATCTACGTGCCTCTGCCTCTTGAGTGCTGGGATTAAAAGTGTGCACTACCACCTCTGGCAAACAGAACTTTAGAGACACTTGTCCAAGACACTCAAGCACACAGAAGAGTTAGAACTTTGGAATTTAAACCAACAAATCCTGTTACCATGTATAGTTTCCCCAACCAGAGCCAAGACTGGGGGACAAATTAGCAATCAGTCTATGCGTAGGCTACAACCTCCCATGTTTCTAAGTGTTTACAGACCTGCGATGTTGCTTTTTTCACGGTGTCAATCTTGAAATAGAAAGAATGGCTATTGTCTGTGTTGAGCTTTGTGATGGCATGACCAAGTGGCTCTGTCAGCTCCGGGCTGTCTACAGGAATGTTCTTGGGGCATCCAGGGCAATTCTCAGGAAGTGGCTGTACGGTTTCTAATGCTCGGCAGTTGACAGTAGGTTGGACTTTGTTCTCCCAAGGTCTCATGTACACGTTAGCCTTGCAGTTGAGACTTTGCTAATCAGAAGCCAAGAGAAACATCGTTAGTTATAAGGCAGGTGAGAAAGTGGCTCTTAAATTATTACATAGGCACAGTGCTACTCACGCCAATGGGCTTGACCTCACAATTTGCTGTCAGTTCTGTGTTGCTCTCCTTGGAACACTCAGTTTCTCTGGCTATGAACTCAATAAAATATTTCATTCCACCCACCACCTGTAAAGTTAATTAGACCAAAACAAGTGTTTAATAAGGATATGTAGAATAAATTATACACTTTCACTCTTTTTTGTTGCTGTTGTTTTTTCCAGACAGGGTTTCTCTGTGTAGCTTTGGAGTCTATCCTGGCACTCGCTGTGGAGACCAGGCTGGCCTCGAACTCACAGAGATCCTCCTGCCTCCGCCTCCCAAGTGCTGGGATTAAAAGCGTGCACCACCAATGCCCGGTTACACTTTCACTCTGATGAGTTTAAAGTTAGAACCTTGAAATTTTGATTATTTTTTGACCATCTTAAATAGTCATACTTTCCAAGCTATCAATGTCTGATACAGACTTTGGGTTTGTGTGCATACCTAAGATTTCTGGATATTAGTTGGGTTAGCTTCCATTACTAAGTAGAAGAAAAGCAGGCTACACTGTTTACTTTAATACACACATATCTATTTTAATGTTCAAAAGCTGCAAACTGCACTCACTCATAACTCAGGGCTTAAGTTACAATACAATCTACAGTAGGGGAGGGCAAACTTAAAACACTTTCTTTACACATCTTTTTCTTGTCTTGCTGTCAAACAATGAATCAGTAAGTTCTTATGTAGATTAAATTATGCAATTAGGAAAATATTTGATTACATATTGTTTCTCTTAATATTTTTAATATTGAGAAACCGCAAATCTTTAAACTATCTATGTATGTATGTATGTATGTATGTATGTATGTATGTATGTATATATCTATCTATCTATCTATCTATCTATCTATCTATCTATCTATCTGAGACAGGGTATTACTATGTAGCCCTAGCTGGCTTGGAACTCACTATATATCCCAGGCTAGCCTCAAACTCACAGAAATCTCCCTGTTTCTGCCTCTTGGGTGCTAGAATTACAGGCCTGTGTCACCACTATCAGCCTGAGATTTATTTATCTTGATTTTACATGTATGGGTATTCTTGCATGTACATCTGTGCAACACACAGGTGCAGTAGTGTCCTCAGAGCCCAGAAAAGGACACCAGATCCCCTGAAACTGGAGTTACAGA